TCACGGCACCGGTCAGAATACGGCTATCGAACGCGGTATCGATCTCTCGCCAAACGAGTCTTTCCGCGTTATTGTCACCGCTGTAATCACCACCACTGGGAATAAACCGTCTCTGCAATCGAGTCTTTACACCTTCTAGTCGCGCGATTTAGCCACCTTTAGCCACCAGAGATTGTCTACTTCCGATCGAGAACCGCGGACGCTTGACACGACTGCGTTTTTCGAGCTCTTTGATCAATTCCTCGCAACGGTGCAGCCACGCGAAATACTTGCCCAAGGTGATAATTTGGCGAGATCCCTCCACCAGATTGCGTTCGATCTGCTCGATGTTTTCCATTTTTTACAGAATGCACATTGGACACATATTGCATGGAAATGTCAAATACAACGGATCCTTGCAATTTGAACAGTATCATCCATCCATTGCATCCAATATCTCAATTATATGCTTTCGAACAGCGTACATCATTTGACTATCCACACCTTGCAACGCAATCATACAGGAAGGACATACAGCTAAAGCACCACCCGTAGAATTATAAAAGTATATGATACAAAATTTTGTACGTCCGTTTAGAGCATTAATTTCTGCAATAGACACTATTTTGTCGATATATTCCATGGAGTTCTCACTGCAGTCGCTAATGCAATCACTATCAACTGACAACGCGTGATCTTCGTCTACTTCCATGTGATCTTCGTCTACTTCCATGTGATCTTCGTGTACTTCCATTTTTTATAAGTAAAGCACAAAAAAATCTTTCTAACGGAACACCGCTATACTTTTTTTTACAACCGACGTGTCAACGGGCGTTCAAATCACATACAATGATGATTTGATGCGCTTCAATCCTTCTTATATGAAGGAGAAAACAAAGGCGCAAAGCAGCCAAACATCGGCGCTGATACGCGTCGCAATTCTTCCGAGAAAAAAATCGCGGAAGACGATTCTGGGAGGTGCCATTTGTTTATATTGTTTATAAATTCGCATGCTGCGTAATTCAATGAGAGAGAGATAAGGATAGGTCGGGAAAAAATCTAGAATTACTTATATCGCGGGTGAGAGGTTGGGGGTGGGTACCTATATTGGAGGCGAGGGGATGAGGGGGCGGGAGTGTACCGCGAGAGCCATTTTGTTTGCAAAAACATGTTCCAACGCGTTAGGGTATGTAATACAACATTGCTTAAGGAATACCGCTGTTTATATTGTTTATAAATATTTTATCAACCGGACATGTAATACAATATTGTGTATCATTGCGATTTTATTAACCGAGCATGTAATACAATATTGTGTATCATTGCGATAAAACATCTAACACGCGCTGCCTTCGAAATTCCCTCCGTCCCGCGTGACGTCATTTCCCCGCGCCACCGTAATCCCCGCGCGCCTCACCCCCCCTGAGAAGACCTGAGTTAGAACTCTCCCTATTATCCTACTTACGTTGCTATACACCGTATTTAAAAGTTTTACGGCGATCGCCGGAGTGACGTCGACAGGTCTCATACCGATGGTGCGATGTTTTCGCGTATTGTACTCTGCAACGAGTCGAGATAGTTCGTCGATCCATTTGTAATTTCCATTCAGCGTAAACATTTTCCACATATTGTATTTTAAAGTACGATTGAATCGTTCCACGACCGAGGCTTTCATAACGGAATATGTCGAGTAATGATTAATGTTGTGTTTCTTCATGAGTTTCTGCACACTGGAGTTGTAAAATTCTTTTCCTCTGTCGGTTTGAAAATTTTTCGGACACTTTTTATCGTCTCCAATAATCTTTGCGATCGTTTCGGACATTGTAACGGTACGGCCTATCCCGTTCGCCACGGACTGGCTCGCCGGTGCCAAGATTCGGGAGTAGGTAGGAGAGTCAAGCTTACGAGTCCTCTTTCAGTAATAAACAAGCCTTTATTGGTAAATATCTTATGCTAGATGTTATCCTACGCGGTGATTATAACTAACTTAATATTACGCGAGCTTAACCTACGACGGTGCGCAAGTGCTTATCCTTCTAGCTAAACCTACGGACGATCACAGTAAACTTAGCCTAGTCGGTCGGTCGCAGTTTCGATCGGCGAGCGTGTCGCGATTGCGGAGTACGGCGGTGCGCGGAGGCCGAGTGCCGGGCAAACCCAGGCTGCGGAGAGGTCAGACCCGTCTCCGTCGGCGTGCACGGTCAGGAAGTCGAATGCCGGACAAACCCAGGCGGCGGAGAGGTCACACCCGTCTCCATCGGCGGGAACGGTCAGGAAGCCGAATGCCGGGCAAACCCAGGCGGCGGAAAGGTCACACCCGTCTCCGTCGGCAGGAACGGTCAGGAAGCCGAATGCCGGGCACTCCGGTGGGTGCCGCTCTAAAGCTGCGCGGTGTATCTCAGCCATTGTGTCCCTACTCTTCTCTAAACGAAAGTTCTCTAATCGTTTCTTAGATGATGGCTTAGGGCCTTTACGTTTAGGACGCTTCTGCTGCACTTTATCAGGAATTTCATTGTCTTGAGAGACAACGGTTGTTGGAACCTTCTCCATGATGTAAAAGTGTGAAAGAGATTAATAGATTTAGTGAAAGTAAAACTACGCTAGCGAAATCGGCCGGCTTAAAATCGCGTAGTGTGTGTAACGAGTTTGCCGCGTATCGCGTGTGCTTAGCTCAACAGCAAGTGCAATTGGTGAAATCCGATCGCGAAGCTACCCTTAGTGATCCGTTGCTTGAGGGTTGTCAAATCGAGCGCAACTTCGTTTCCGCTACCATGCTTGAGCAGGCCTCAAGTACGCCTCAGTCTTTCCGACTGACTGCTGATGTCATCAACTCTATCGGTAAGTTTGAGCATCTGGGTACGTCGTATCGTCCCGTTCTGAAGAGTGCATATATTGGTGGAGTAACCGATCGCTCTGATGATTCCGAACTTGTGCCTGACCCGTACACAGTAACATTTAAGAATCTAAGAGCGACTGTCGTGGCCTTAGCCGATGAACAGACTGACAGACGCTACAGTGCGTGAATTCTTTTGTGAGAACTCTCCTCTTCCTGGTGCGATTTGGAATGGCAATAAGTTGCTTAATCCAAATGATATTATGCCTCCCACATATAATGTTGATGATTTGGCTTACGACCAGCGATCATTCCGCGCTTTCTTAGCGACGATTTCCGGCAAGTGCCCCCACCTTGTGGGCGAGTGTGTGTTTAACGGCCACGGTAACGCTGCACAGCTAGTGTCTGTTTTCAAGGAGACTTTCAGGCTTGATACTAATCGCTTGATTGTTCCCAGCGATTCTGTGAGATTCCGTGCACTCCAACAGGTTGAGCCCGGTTTTATGGTGCGTGGCGTCCTCGGGCTCCTCGGTGAACTGCCTAAGGACACTGCTAATTGTTTGTACTCAATTCGATCCCCATTGATTTCAGAGGTCACACCCGTCTCTGTCGGCAGGAACGGTCAGGAAGCCGAATGCCGGGCAAACCCAGGCGGCGAAGAGGTCACACCCGTCTCCGTCGGCAGGAACGGTCAGGAAGCCGAATGCCGGGCAAACCCAGGCGGCGGAGAGGTCACACCCGTCTCCGTCGGCGGGAACGGTCAAGATTCAAGATGTCTCGGTTATCCCCAGAGATTCAGAACTGGTCGGAAGCTGGAAAGGAATAAGGTACCGGTCTGTTGCGCGAGCCGGCTTTTATACGGTTCGAGGGCCCCCCACGCTCGCGTGCGTCGAGGAGGGAGTGAGACTAGGTGGGGAAGCCCATAGGCGGGATCGCAGGTGGGTGCCAGAGATGTCGAGCAAGGGATTTACGCGAGAAACGGTTATAGTGAACGCCTTTATTTTTAGATTTAGGAACAATAATACAATACGAACTATGAATAATAACAATATAAACACAGGAACAATAACTATATTTACAGTGACGATACTGTCGTCACATCACCCCGCGCTTAGGGGGGTCCATCTAGGCGCCGAATTGCTCGGGGGCGGCCGTCCGGGTGAAACCTGATCACCCATCGGCCTGATGTGGTGCGGATCTTATATCTGCGCCCGATGATGGCCGATCCGGCGGGGACCTCGACGATGGTACCGTCGTCCAGGCGTACTGGGATGGACCCAACGATGGGTGGCCTGGCGGTCAGTGGTCGGGTGGTTGCCGGCCGGGCGGTAGGCGGCCCGACGGTCGCAGGTCGGGCAGTCGCTGGGCCGGCGGTCGTGGGCCGGGTAGTCGGCGGACCGATGTTCGTAGGCCGGGCGGTAGGTGGTCCGACGGTCGCAGGCCGGGCAGTATACGGCCCGGTGTTCGTTGGCCGGGTCATAGAGGCTCCGGTGGAGGTGTACGGTCCGGTGGTCGGTGGCCTGGATGTCGAGGCCTTGCTGGTCCTGGCAGCTGGTGGACGGCTGGTAGCCGACCGGGGGTCGGCTAGGGCGGCGATTCTTCCGCGGCGGCGCGGCTTAATCTCCGGCGGCGTCGTTAGGATGATCGCCTTCCGCCGGTTTGCCTGGTCGGATCGCTGGACGGATGTCCCGGGCCGCGTCGGGATCGTCCCGGGCTCGGGGTCGGTGGAGGCGGCTCGGCAGGCGTTGGCGGCGTCGTGGTCGGCGCGGTAGTAGGCCCGCTTACTTCGGACTCCGAGCTGGTGCTTATATCTCCGAAGAGGTCGTCTATTTCGTGTTGGTCCATAGCGACTGTTAATCCGCACGGGGTTGCACGGCCTTATATACCTGCTGCCGGGATGTCGCGAATCCGATGGGGGTGTCCCGTGGTTCCAGTGGAAGTAGCGGAGTCCGGTCGCAGGTCGGGTAGTCGCTGTGCCGGCGGTCGTAGGCCGGGCAGTAGCTGGACCGGCGGTCGCAGGTCGGGCAATATGCGGTCCGCCATCCGCAGGTCGGACCGTAGGTGGCCCGGCGGTCGCAGGTCGGGCAGTAGGTGGCCCGTGGTTCTAAGGGAAATTCCCTAGTAACGGAGTTCGTCCGAATACTCCAAGGTGGCGGTACTTCGGCGTGGTCGGTAACTTTCTGCCGGATTATGCGTCATCCTCGTCCACCCGAGGACTTCCTGGTATGTTCGGTTGCGGTTTCAGGTCCTGTACGTGGATATGCCGGTGCCATTTCCCGTGTTCGTCGCGTAGATCCACGATGACTGGGGATATTATCCTGCGTACTTCCATGGGCCCCGAAAATCGAGGGGCGAGTTTGGCGTTAAACGCGTCGTCGCGGCTGGACAGGGGGCGTTCTCGCTTCCAAACCGTGTCGCCCACCCGGAGGCGCCAGTCGCGTCGTCTCATGTTATAATGTCGCTCCTGTTTTTGGAAGGCTCGGGCTAGGTGCACCCTGGCGACTTCATAGGCCTCTTCCAGGCGTTGTCGATGCGACTCCGGCGAAGTCGGGTTCGGCGTTGGTTGTCGCTCGGCAGGATGGGGAGGTGCCAGTTCGCGGCCGTGGAGCAGAAAGGTCGGGGTGTATGTTGCCTCGTGTCGGGCGATGTTCACCGCGAACTGCAACGCGTCAATGTGCTCGTCCCAATCCCGGTGCCGGTCGCCCACGTATTGACTAATCATGGTCTTGATGGTCCGATTCGCCCTCTCCACCGGGTTGCAATGCGGCGCGTAGACAGGTGACGTGCGGTGCTGGATCCCGAATGATGCCAGCAAGGTGCGGAACTGGCGAGAGGTGAACTGGGTCCCGTTGTCCGAGATGAGTTGGTCCGGGCATCCATGTTGGTAGATGATGCGGCAGGTCACTTCTTTTGCTAGTGCCGTGGCGGTGGCGCGTCGCAGAGGAACCATCTCGATCCATTTGCTGAACCGGTCTTGGGCGGTCAGGAGCTAGACATGTCCACGGACCGAGCGTGGCAGAGGACCGACTAGATCCACTGAGACTTGCTGCCACGGGGCGGTCACTGGGGTAGCGTGCAAGTTCCCTGCTGGTCGTTGTTGCGATACCTTGTGGGTTAGGCAGCTCGGACAGCTCCGAACGTACCGGACTGTCTCCCGGAACATCCCCGGCCAGTGGTACAACCGAGCGAGTCGGGCGATGGTCTTAGCCACTCCTAGATGCCCTGCGGTTGGGTCGTCGTGTAGACGGCGTAGGATGTCGAGCCGCTGTTCCCGAGGGACGCACTGTTTCCATTGCTCGGTGGAGGGTACCTCGCTAAAATCCAGGTCGTGTAGCACATGTCGAAATAGTTGGCCGTCACGTATCTCGTAATCGGGGTACTCGTCTGGTCGGCTCTTTACCTCTCTAGGAGGCGTTGGTACCACGGACACGCTATCCGGTGTTGCATTGCGTTGAGTTGCGGCTCCCGGGAGAGGGCATCGGCTACTTGATTCTGTCCTCCTCTCCTATAGTGTATGGTGAAGTCGAACTGTTGCAGTTCGAAGAGTCACCGCCCCAGGCGTCCGGACGGGTTCTCCAGATGTTGCAACCACTTGAGGGACTGGTGGTCTGTTACAACGGTGAATCGATACCCCTCCAAGTAGTCTCGCATTCGACGGATTCCCCATACCACGGCGAGACATTCCAACTCGGTCGCGCTGTAGTTTCGCTCGGCACCGTTGAGCGTTCGGCTGGCGTATGCGATTACTCGCTCTCCCTCCGTCTGGTGCTGCGTTAGCACGGCTCCTAGCCCATGTGAACTGGCATCGGTTTGTAGCAGGAACGGTTTCTGAAAGTCCGGGCAGGCCAGAACCGGTGTGGAGGTCAATGCTTCCTTCAGTTGTTGAAAGGCTGCGTCTTCGGGGGTCCCCCATGTCCAGCTAGCTCATTTTTTGGTCAGCGCTGTAAGCGGCGCCGCTAGTGTCGAAAAATTCGGGATGAACCTCCGATACCACGAGGCCATTCCTAAAAATTGCCGGACCTTGCGCACGGTGGTGGGAGTTGGCCAACTGGTGATGGCGCTGACTTTGTCTGGGTCCGTGTGTATCCCTTGTCGATCAATTACATGCCCTAGGTAACGGAGGCTCGGACGGCAGAAGTGACACTTACCCGGGTTTAAGCGTAGCTTTGCCTCGCGTAGTCGCCGGAATACCTCTCTCAAGTGTTGCAGGTGTTCGCTGAACGTCTTGCTGGCGATTATTATATCGTCCAAGTATACAAGGACGTTAGGTTCGAGGTCGGGGCCGATCACTGTGTCTAGCAACTGCTGGAAGGTCGTCGGGGCCGAGTGCAACCCGAAAGGCATGACCGTGAATTGGTACAAACCCTTCCCTGGTACGGTAAAGACGGTTGCAGGTCGACTCCCTTGGTTCAGTGGTATCTGCCAGTAACCACTCTTTAGATCTAACGTTGTCAGGTATTTCGCCCCGCGTAACTTGTCTAGCGTAGCCGTGATGTGCGGCAAGGGATAGGCGTCTTTATCTGACATTGCATTCAGCCTGCGAAAGTCGATGCAGAACCTATACTGCCCATCTTTCTTTCGAACTATGACTACCGGTGAGCTCCAAGCGCTGTTCGAGGGCTCGATGACGCCTTCGGCGAGCATTCGGTCGACCTCCTCATTGATGACGGCCTGCATGGCCGGGTTTCGAGGCCGGTACCGCTGTTTGATGGGCGGTCCAGGCTTTAGCCGGATGCGATGTTCGGCTCGGTCGGTTCGTCCCGTGATTACTTCAAACAATGGTAACTCAGCAGTTAAAAAGTCCCGGAGTTGCGCTTCTTCGTTTGCTTCGTTGCTGGGGCCGACGGTGATCGTGTTGGTCCGGGAAACTGTCCCGGTCTGGTTCAACGGAAGTGGCGGCAAAGTGAATCCCATCTTAGCCCACAGGTCGGTACCAATCAGCACAGCGCTAGCTAGACCAGGGAGTATGCAGAAGTCGTGCCAATAGGTTCTCCCATGCCATCGGAGAGGCAGGCGCAATACCCCAGTGACCCCTACCCGTGTGTTATCGGCCAGGAGGACGTAGTCTCCTCGGTTCTGGGCTAGTCGGGGTATTCCCGGGAATAGTTGTGCAGTCTCTTCCTGTATGCACGAGACTTCAGATCCGGGGTCTATGAGAACCGCGAACGGCTGTCGCCGGATGTGTACTTGGAGATGCGGGCGCGGACGGTATTCTATTCGAGGCTGGGCTGGGAGACGGCCGCTACGTCCCCGGCCCGTTGGGCGTTTCCCGTCGGCGGGTGTCAGTCGCGAGTCAGGACACCATCTTTGCCGCATCGCGAGCAGAATTTTCTTGGTGGCCGCTTACAATCCACTCGAGTGTGGCCTCGCTGCTTACATCTCCAACAGCATTCCTCCCGGTTGTAGGTGACGGCGGCGACTGATGGTTTGGCGGTCGCTGGAGTTCGATCCTGTCGACGGTGGTTGATTTCCTCAATCTTAGATATCCGGGTCCGGAGTTCGCTCATGGTGAGCTGATCGGTGAGCGGAACATAGAGCTGATGCTCGGGATTCATGTTTTCGTAGATTTGCTCCAGCTGTTCTCGCTCGGAGTATCCCCCAGCTCGGCGCATTATGGTGAGAAGCGCATTGGAGTATTCGCGAAACGACTCCCCCGGCTTTTGGGAGTGTCCGTTGACTTCTCGTTTTAGTCGCCTCAGGTATCCCGGCGGTAGGTAGTAGTCCCGGAACTGTTCGCAGAAACTGGCCCAATTCCCCAGGAATCGTGGTGGTTTCGATACAAGAGAGCATCCCCTTTTAGTAATTCCGGTAGGCCCAAGAGTAAGTGGTCTTCTTCGAGGCCATAACTGACTCTTAGCTCTTCAATTCTCTCTAGGAATGAGAGTGGATCCACTCCTTCGAAACGGTGGCCCCATTTCCGGATCTGGTTGATGATCTCGATGCGTTCCGTTGGACTCAAGGTGGGCATGGTCGCGGTTTCTCCTGGTACGTCACCGCAGTTGTTCCTCGGGTTGTCGGACGGGTGGGCAGCGAAGTACAGGTGCAATCGGCGTCTCAGCAGGTCCACTTGGTCTGTGGTATCCACTTCGTACCGATGGAGATATTCTACAAGCTGTTCTTTGGAAAGGTTATTAATCCACGCAGTCATGAGGCTTTTCGATAGCTGGACTCTCCTTAAACGGTCCCTGTTCGAGCGCCATGTAAAGGTACGGCCTATCCCGTTCGCCACGGACTGGCTCGCCGGTGCCAAGATTCGGGAGTAGGTAGGAGAGTCAAGCTTACGAGTCCTCTTTCAGTAATAAACAAGCCTTTATTGGTAAATATTTTATGCTAGATCTTATCCTACGCGGTGATTATAACTAACTTAATATTACGCGAGCTTAACCTACGACGGTGCGCAAGTGCTTATCCTTCTAGTTTAACCTACGGACGATCACAGTAAACTTAGCCTAGTCGGTCACAGTTTCGGTCGGCGAGCGTGTCGCGATTGCGGAGTACAGCGGTGCGCGGAGGCCGAGTGCCGGGCAAACCCAGGCTGCGGAGAGGTCAGACCCGTCTCCGTCGGCGTGCACGGTCAGTAAGCCGAATGCCGGGCAAACCCAGGCGGCGGAGAGGTCACACCCGTCTCCGTCGGCGGGAACGGTCAGGAAGCCGAATGCCGGGCAAACCCAGGCGGCGGAGAGGTCACACCCGTCTCCGTCGGCAGGAACGGTCAGGAAGCCGAATGCCGGGCAAACCTAGGCGGCGGAGAGATCACACCCGTCTCCGTCGGCGGGAACGGTCAGGATTCAAGATGTCTCGGTTATTCCCAGAGATTCAGAACTGGTCGGAAGCTGGAAAGGAATAAGGTACCGGTCTGTTGCGCGAGCCGGCTTTTATACGGCTCGAGGGCCCCCCACGCTCGCGTGCGTCGAGGAGGGAGTGAGACTAGGTGGGGAAGCCCATAGGCGGGATCGCAGGTGGGTACCAGAGGCGTCGAGCAAGGGATTTACTACGCGAGAAACGGTTATAGTGAACGCCTTTATTTTTAGATTTAGGAACAATAATACAATACGAACTATGAATAACAATATAACAATATAAACACAGGAACAATAACTATATTTACAGTGACGATACTGTCGTCACAACATTTCGTTTCCGCTCTTACTCTTGAGCGATACGGCCCACGCATACTTGCCCAACACATCGATAACCGTGAGTATGTATTTATGACCCTTGTTGAGTCGAGAGTACGAACGCATGTCCACCACGTCCGCCTGCCACAGATCGTCGTATCCGCGTACAATGACGCGTCGTCGTGGAAAATTACTTCTCGCCGGAGCATGTAATTCCTCGACTAGTTGCCGCTTTTCGGAAGTGTTTTTGTTCTTTCGCACGTTTGATCGAGGCATAATTAATATGTGATATTAGTATATTTCGCTTACTGTGCCGAGTTAGATGTTGCATATCTCAGCACATTCTTTATCTCATCCATCATTAATCGCAGCGCCTGCACGTTTGTTTCGAGCGCGATAATTTTTTGCTCAATTTCTCCCTGTTGATCTCTCAAAAGTTTATCCACGTATCGTTTGTTGACGACGTCGGTATCAGCTTCCGGTTGCGCTACGCGTTGAATCTTGCGCGACCTTGCGTCAAAGCCGGTAGTAGTTTGGCAGAGAGCGTTATCGCGAACGTAATTTCTCAATAATCCATTCCATTCATAGTACAAATTGTTCGACGTTCCCAGCGATAATCCGAATTTATTAATCGACATTTCGGTACCGAGAACATTGACCGAATGACACGTATCGCCGACGCATAGTTTAATTTATAATAATGCCGGCCTCGCGAAGTTCTTCGATAATTGACAAGATTTCATTGTCGTGAGCATTGTTGCCGGCTCGACGCGAGGCGTCCAGCAATCGCAAACGATTCACCAATTCGTTGGGATCGTTCCAATGCACGTAA